GGTCCCACCACCAGTATAAGCTGTTGGACCTGCTGGAATGGTGGTGAGCACAGGGCTTCATCCTGAGCCAGCCCCATGTGCCACCACTCTGCTTCCAAGGAAGAGGGGAAGCAGGGAAACTGTGGCAATTTTGGCCAGAGGACACGTTAGCCCAGGTACCCCGGCTCAACACCAACCTGGGTAATTGCTTTCTGCTCCTTGGCATTGACACTTCTACTGCCAAAGCCACCTCTCCCTCCTCCTCCTGCCATAAATCACTGGGAAATGGTGCTGAGAACCATCCAACAGCTGCTGAATTTCATCCAGGATCTCACAGCACCTCAACAGTAAGAGAAGTGCTTTTGCATATCCAGTTTGTAAAGCAGTTTGGGGCATTCTGAGATGAGAGACACAATAGGTGTGAAAAGGTGATTATTATATTTACTGCAAAATCCATTCTCCACTCTATGAAATCATGAGCAGTGCTTCAAGACAGAGAGTGTACTGCAGGATGATGTGCAAACCCAGTCTTGCTGGTGGGAGGAATGGTTTTCCTGGTGGTATCAGGGAGGTGAAGCCTTCAGCCTACAATACTTAGGAGCGGTTGAGGCATAATGGTGACATCCAGCTAATTGGATGCATTGCTATGGACACTTGAGAAATATGATAGACAGATGCATTCAGCCAGATAGAAATCCCCTGGTGTAGTGAGCTGAAGTCAATTATGGACTTAAACTGTGAAAGGTTTGACCTGATGTCATTTATGTCTCAAGTCATAATTAACACTTAAAGTTCAACTCTATGGCAATTTTCCTTTAATAACACTTAAATCCCATATAGAGCTCAAAGAATTGCATAGACATGATGAAGGAAGACTTGAGTGGATGCCAGAATTTCAGCTTTAGTAAATAATCCTTGAAACACATTTGCAAGGCATATGGATGGCATCATTGCTCTTCAGTTTCTCCTTTGAAGAGAAATGGGGTTTTCCCAATGCCTCCCCAAAGCCTGTGGCACCTGGAGATAAGGGCTGAGGCTTTTTCAGCTGCTAAACCAACAAAAACTCAGCTCAGCCCAGCTCCCATCTTTTTGTCTTGATATATTCTTAAATTTTACCACAATCTTTGGAAAGATTATAGACAAATTGCTTGCCAAATGGCCTGGGTTTTTCCAATTAGAAGCTATGCAAATGCAGAAGAAGAAAATCTCCATAAACACAGCTTCTGCTTCCAAGATTTTCATGTGGATGAAATATGAATCTTACTAGGGGAAGAAACACACTCTTGAACTGAGACCTTGTAAGCCAAGATGCAGCTCCCTGCAGATTTTTACAGTCAAGTTATAACTGCCTGTAAAGCAGGGGTTTAAAATGGAAGTGCTGACAAAACTTTTAAACTACAACAGTGGAAATGGCGCCGCAATAATTTATAATCTACAGGCAGCTTTGGATTTATTATCACAATGACAAATGCACTGTCATTGTTAATAGGATATTTCCCAGCAAGGACTTCTTGTTATGCAAGCCAGGTTCACTGTGTCATGCAGCATGATAGCAATAAAGTCTACAAGAATTTGTAATGAACTTCAATTACTAATAGATTATGGTTAATGGGAAATATGTGCAGTAAAGATATGGGTTTTTATATGCGCCTTCTGGTACTCTACAAGGCAATGATTTATGCTACAATTTATGTTAACATTCTCCAGTATGAAAAAAAAAAAAAGCAGCCTAAATTGGTGGAAAGCCACTCCATCCATAACAAATCTTTAAGATAATTTTGCACATCATGTAAATGAAGATGTAAAATCAGATATTAATCCATTTCATTTCAGCATTTGTATTTTTATTAAAAATGAAGGCTTTGCCCTGCTGTGTAATGACATTAAAAAACCCTATCGTGGGCTGCAAGCGTGAATTACACCGGTGTAGAAATGGCGACGGCAGCCGAGCTGCAAGTGCATTTGTTCAATTTGCTGTTGTAATTAACAGAGCAGTGACATTATTTTTCTACGTGTGATTTAAAGTAACAGCCCTGAAGCTGCTCAGCCAGATGTGGTTGATGCAGAGGGAATATATACATGAAGACTGGGCTCCTCTGGAGGGGATCAGCCTTTTCCTCCCCCAGCCCTCTCACGCAGCATCGCTCCAAAGCCATTCTTGATCCGCCAGCATCGGGCTGTCCCCTTCCCTGCACAGCAAACCTCCCACAGGAATTACTCTGGGAAATAATCACCTGATGCAGCAGCAGAGCCACAAGCTCACACTCACTTATCAGAGGGACACAGGCCTGGTGCTTGCATGTTCAAAGCAGAGTTCCTCCTCCTCCCTCCTTGCTTCCCTCCAGCTTTTTCCTCCTGCACCTCTAATATATCTGTATATTCCAGGTTTATGTGCCAGTGAAATGAAAAGAAGGATGCCTCCTGATTTAAAACAAAACACTGTTCAGAACTGTCTCTAATTAATGTATAGATGAGATGTTAAGGGTTGCATTTGCCCAGAGTCACATCTCTGTAAAATATTTACACTTAATATCAGAAACATATTTAGCCAGAAAGGGGCATCCATGCATGAAGACCTTTCAGGATAATTTCTGATGTATTTTCTATGTAGGTAGCCTGATGTCCATCTTGCTTCAATCAATCAGTGTTACACTGGTTTAAGACCATTGGGCTCAGCAAACCTCTTTATTAAAACATAAAAATTCCCTGTCCAGGGTGCCAGGGAGGAAGGCATGACCTGCTGGTTCACACATCCACCTGGATGCAAAGGGCAAGGCTGGTCTGGAGATATGCTTCTCAACTAAAATTCTGCTGGTTGAGGTAAGGCACTTTTTGAGAAAAAACCAATAAATTCAGTGCGGAAAGCACACAGGTAAACTCAAAATTTCTATATAAATCCCTGTCTGTGGACAGGCTGGACCCTCCAAACACACTCTGGAATAGCAGTATCTCATCATTGCACAATTAAAGGTGATTCTCACATGAAATCTGGCTCTTCAGGCTATTAGGAAATTGTTTGAGAGATTTACAAAAACTCCTTCACTTTTTATGATCAAATAAGCATAAAATTGTGCTTCCCCACACCCATTTCCTACTAAATACTACTTGCAGTACTTCTTGGAAATGCAGCTGTAACAATTTAACATTAAAAATAATTTATCCTTTAAGGATGCTCTTCTGATTCAGTTTTCCCCCAACCCCTAAATGGAATCAGCTGCATATACAGAATGGAGTTTACTGACTTTTTCTTCAGCACTTTCAAAATTAAATTCTCCTCAGAAGCAAAAGGAATGGCAGAGGACCACCCTGGTGTGTCTAGTTGTAGATAAGAGGATTTTTTCTCCACCCTGGGGTGAAAGTGCCTTTTCCCTGTGTGAATTCTGCTTTTAAATAAGACCCCGTGCAGCTGCACACACCCAGCAAGAGCTCCTAGGCTCTCCCTTTCTGGTTTAAAGGGGAAGAACTTCTCACCTGCGTTCACACTGAGTCTCCTTTTGTGTGTGTTTGAGGTCACAGCCTCTTCTTATCTCTCCACATCCTCATCTTTCCTGCTCTCTCCCACATTTTCAGAACAAATCTCCTCCCAAAACACTAAAAAGCTTTTCTTGTATTTTTTACCTCTGCTAAACCCGAAAATAAGCAGGACATGCGTGTGCATTTTGTTGCTGAGTTTTCTTGTAGGATTTGCATTTGTTTGTTCGTTTGTTTTGGCCTTTCTTTGGCTCCCAAAGACAAGTCAGTCCTGACAGGGTTGATGTGGCAATATTCAGCAGTCACCTCCTTCACATGCACCATTTAGAAGAGGTCATTGACAGCACAAAAGAGCTAAGAAAATAATTGTAACTTTAATTTGTTTCCCATTAGAAATGCATGCAGCAATCTGTTCTAATGAGAGACTTTCTTTCTTTCCCACCTTGACACAGCACTGTAGCAGCTTACAGATACACGAAGGTCTTTTGATGCAGGAGTCTGCATGTAGCACTGTGTAAAAGCTTTAATAGATTTTCTTCTGTTCAACAGCTGAGACATGTCGTGGAAACATTCTGAAATACACTGGAATTAATATTTGCTCACTAGGAGAAATATGTGTTTCAAATAATTCACCCTAAAATGAATATAAACAGCTATTGATGCCCAAAATGGTCTCTGGTAAATCACTTCAAACCATTAATAATCCATATTGTATCAGAAATGTATATGCAAAAAGAAAACATAATGTCTTGCAGCCCAAGCATTACCTAAAGCAAACCATTTCCACACTGAACCAAATGATTTCAATGGCAGGAATCACACCTGCCTCACTGGATCAACTGAGTATTCTGAGTACTTAAACTGTTAAATTCATTCAAGCGATTACATGGCATTCAAGGCCCAGGGGAGGTTTAGACTAGGTATTAGAAATAATTTATTTACTGAAAAAGTGGTCAAGCATTGAAACAGCCTGCCCAGGGAGGAGGTGGAGTCACCATCCCTGGAGGTATTCAAGAGATGTGGTGGCATTTAAGAGCATGCTGTAGTGGGCATGGTGAGTTTTTTGTGGGGTGTGTGTTGGTGGTTTTGTGGAGTGTGGTGGTGATTTTGTGGTGTGGTTTGGGTTTTGTTTGTTTTTCTTTCCCCTGGGTGGACAGCTGGACTTGATGAAATTAGAGGTATTTTCCAACCACAACAATTCTGTGATTCTGTATTCCACCAGGCACTGTGCCTTGTAGAGAACATAACCCTTCTTAAAACCATAAAATCATTTAGGAAAACAGATGCATCAAGAACCAGAGTGGGAACAGCCCCACATGGAGAAAGAACCAGGGGGGTGAAGTACCTTCTTGCTGAACATCCTGTATGATTTAATCAGGTATTGAAGTTCACTTATAACAACAGATATTAATACTGATTTTTTTTAACATGCATCAAAAATTATATCTCAGTACTGAAATAAACCAAGCCATTTATAAAGTACAAAAAACATATTTCAGTTGTTAACAGTTTGCATCTAACTATTTACTTCAGATCAAGAAGAGGTTAACTCATGGCTCAATCACTATTAAACTCAGGTTGTTTCTAAAAAGCACCTTCCCATCCTTTTCCTCACTGCATTCAGGCTTTCTTAATTCTTCTATTACCTGATGCTTTAGTTCAGGAGGAGCAGTTTTAGAAAACTCACAAGTTGCTGTCAGGAAATCCAGCAACAGCTCCCCATCCTTGTTGCCCTCAATAAAACAGCTTGTTATGTCCAGATGGGATGGGAGATCATGCAGCTGATACTTCAGCCCAGCTGAATCCAGTATCCTTTTGATGTCAGCAGAGGAAACATAAACACAGAGAGCATCTCTGGGAAAGGAAGGCCCATACTTCTTCCACAGTGTCTCCCAGCCACTGGTTCCTGAGAGAACAAGAAAAATGCTCAGGAATAAGGAAAAACACTATTTGAACAAAATGTTGATAATTTTGCGTTTTTAGCAGTTGTCCTTGTTGCAAGCCAGGTCTCTTCAGAGTTGGAACATGTGTCCTGGGGCATGGTGGAGATGGCTGCCTCCCTGCTTCTGAGCCTCAGGGTTGGGGGCTGCAGGAGGGGATGGACATGTTGTCTACCCTGGAGCTCCAACACCTCCTACCAAGCCCCCAGCTAAGGTCAGAGCAACTCAGGACACTCAATCCTCCCTCCCTCCACTGCATCCCTCTGCTTCATGCACATGGGCAATATCATTCAGGGTCATCCTTCTATAGCCCACATGCAGAACATAAGCTATTCAGTGCCATCTTCTTGATTTAAACTATTCCCTAGATTTCAGCTGCCTGTTTGGAAGACTAAATCCTCTACTATTCATTCACCTAATTACTTTGTGGTCAAGCTACAACCGAGCTTCCTTGAATCACACCACTCTGTGTGATTCTGTGATACAAGTATTACCAGTCAGCTATCTCTCTACTACCTTAAATACATGGGGTGTAAACCCCTGTCCATATTGTCCATGAAGCTGGATGTGTGATGAAGGAAAAGTCCAGAGGGACAGAGCCCAGAATGAAGCTGCGCCATGCTCCTGGCCTTCAGCCCTTGCCCCCATCACACTCACATTGCCCATGTGGGCAAGGCAGGGGCTGCCCCTCACCCCAAGCAGACCTCCCTAGTGGTGCTAGAGGAACATTTGGCTGTAAAAGATGAAGGGTGAGGAAGGCAAAGCCTCCTGTAGTGTTGGAAACACCTCTAGAACTAAGTCCATGCTGAGCCATGATGTGTGCAAACCTCTGCTCAAGGGATGTTTTACAAAGAAAACCAGCTGGGTAAGCTGAAAACTCCCCAAACATGTCTTCATATCTTTATTTTCCCTCACTCTGGATCTGTGATTCAGCATTTCTGCTATAAATCATTTAAAAAGGGATCACCCAGAATGACTGGACAGAATGAAAATAACTTAAGAGCCTAATGAGCAGCTCTTGAGAGTTATGACTATAAATCTCCATAAGCACAAAAACCAGTTGCTCGGCGGTTTCGCAAATGCTTTATCTGCAAGCAGTTATTTATAGTCAAATAAACAGTTTGGTGTTTAGAAGAGGGGCTACAATATTTTCTTTCACCTGGTGGAAATTGAACACAGAGCACTAATTACAGGAAATGTGCTGGTGTCAGTGTTGTGTGACTCAGTGCCATCTCTGAGCCGAGCAATTATACACTACCTGAACGCAGCATTATTATAATAGCTCTCGATGGGCTCAGCATATGGCACTGCTTTTGTTTTCAAGGCGATGTAAACAGATTTTGTAAATGCTTTCAAAATAACCCCACATAGCTCTTGCAGCCCTCCCTTCTCTCAAGGCAGGGATGGAGCTGGAGAGATCACCGACCTTCACCAACTGACCAAGCCCTCTCCTATCAATCCTATTCCCAGACTGGTTTTTAATTAACACATCCTAATGTGTTTGTGTTGGAGATGACATTACCTTCATTTTTTGAAATAAGCTTTGTTGATCTTTTAGTACTTCTTTTTGCTGTAGTGCTCATTTTCATAGCACTTCCTCCCTCCCCTCTCTATACTCTTCTTTCTCCCAAGGTTGCCCCCTTCCTTTCCTCTCTGCTATTCTCAGCCCTACTCCTCTCTCCCATTTTCTTGCTGGCCCCAGCAATTTCTGTTCTATTCTTCTCCATCAGAAAACAGAGGTGCCTGGCCCAGATTTGACTTCAAATACTTTTAATGAATTCAGAATTTTAATCACATTAATTTTGAATAGACACATGTTCCTTCCTGTATTCATATTTCATGAATATCTAAAGGGACAGGTTAAGCAACAGGAACAGAGTTTCAATTAACTATACACAGGTAATCAGCAGTAGTCTGATATTATAATCTATTCTCATTCAAGCAAAGAACAAGAACAGTGACTCAGATTATTTAAAATAAAGAATTCTTGTAGTGAACTGCTTGAAAACACTTGAACCAAAAACATTTTGGAGAAAACTAGTTTGAATAAATTCAGGTCAGAGAAGTACCATTTTGTTGTGGACACTTCCTGAACATAAAAAAAAAAAAAAAAAAAGAAACTTCATCAAACACATTACAGTTTGCAGACATGGCCAAATTTGGTAAAAAAAAAATCAGCTCAGAACTCTGTGCAAATAACCCTTAGCATCCCTGACAAGAACTATCAGATGTGGCTTTTCATACAACTAAAATTTCCACAGCTTGTGAAGCAAATTAAAGGCTTTTTGCAGTCAAATCAGACTTTGCCATTGCAGTATCTCTATCATACCTTGCCCACAGCATTAAAAGGTCATTGTTCACTCTGCTCCCACATTTTCCTTCTGGGTGGACCACAGAGCATCTCTTTGAGATCTGAAACAGCCTAAGAATGCTGTTTTCCACCCAAAATGATGATGTTAAAGAAATGGGCAGTTTAAAAAGAAAACGAACCATATGTGCTCTAACACCTGCTGTACAGCACAGCCGAGCCCTGTCAGCCATTTGCTTAATGCCTCAAGTCTCCAGGAGTAAGATAATGTGGTGCCCAGCCTGGAAAGCCTTTTACAGAAAAGAGCAGAGGCTGAAGGAGCTGTTGTGAGCAAAAGCCACGGGATGGAGCCTCTCTCTGGCCATCGATTACGGCATGTCCAAAAGAAGGGCAACAAAGCTGGTGAAGGTTCTGGAGTACAAGTCTTACCAGGAGCGGCTGAGGGAAGCAGAAAAGGAGGCTGAGGGGAGACCTTATTGCTCTCTGCAGGTACCTGACAGGAGGTTGTAGCAAGGTTGGTCTCTTCTCCCAAGTAACAATTGATAGGACAA